GTAACTCAGTCTATGACAACATTCTAACACAAGAAAATGGGGAAATAATACAATTTTATTCAGTAATAATCACCTGTAATTTAACATTAACGTATGTTTATTATTGAAATTATAAGTTGAGGGTTCAATATTTACAATTATTTTTAATAGCCATCATGAAAATAAACACCAATTGTGACAAAAAACTAATTGTAAATAGTCGGTTGATAATATGAGCCTGTATATTTACATCAGTTAATAGGTCTGTTCCAACAAGAGTCAGGGATTAGTTCCAAATCATTTGAAATGTGCATCCAACTAATTCTAGCGATATATTCACTGAAGACACATTTAGAATTTAGCTGGCCAAACATTTCGAACGGTTTGGAATTAATCCCTGACTCTTGTTGGAACAGCCCTAATAATGGGGGCACTAAAAAACATGAAGTCAACACTGGAAATAAGTGCATGTGACATGAAGAATGCTGCGCGACGCTGTCGAAATGTTATAAAATATTTTTATATTATTACTTACCTAAAGAATGAAATTTCATTACTATTGCGATCAGATCTGCTACCATAATCGTCAACGATACACTGTCCCATGATTGCACAAAGGAAAACAATATATTTAATAAAACAATGTTGTCACAGCGAATGTCTAACAGCGACTGAGAGCGCGAGGCTGGCAGGGCTGAGGTTTGGCTGACGGTTGGCTTCACCGGCTTGCCTCTACAATTCAGTCTATTTTGTCTATGGTCCCAACTATGACACGCTCGTGGGAACTAATAGGTTCAAACTCGCTATATGTCTGGTGGTTTAGCTGACAGGTAGTCTTGGCTGTTTATAAGATATTACAGATATAATTCAATGGTGGTCAAAGAAAACTCAGAGTAGTTATTTGCCATAACATCATGTTTAAAAAAAAGTCTATGCATAGAGTACTTTTAAAGCAATGTTATAGTAGCTATAGTCCGTACAATATTTGATGATAAAATTCCAAGAAGTCCCCTGCATCACTTTCTTGGAATTAACCACATTTGATACCCGAGGTAGAGAGACATTGGCTGAAAATTTCAAGGCACGCCCCTGCCGCGGTCAATTGTTACAGTAGTTCTGATATCAGAACTTTATTGGCTTGAAATTCTATTTCAACAAAGATTGTATGGACTGTAGTAGTATAAATAATGTTTATTACAGTAAAGCTGCCTTAAACTTTATACTAAATTTCATACTTTTATCTTAAAATTGATCATTGGTCTAACAAGTGTTGCAAAAAATGTTTTTTTGTTTCACGTCTAATATTAACATATTTTCTTTTTTGTATAGAATTGTATGCCCAAACGAAAGAGACCCTCTTTCCATAACGATATTATCTATAATGTCCAAAGTTAGACTGGAAGCCATGTGCTGGGGAGCCGGAACGGCTTTAGGGGAACTTCCCCCCTATTTCATGGCACGTGCGGCAAGATTGTCAGGGTAAATAAATTCTCTTTAAACGTCTTTCATTAACATACTTATAATTAGTCATTTTGTTTGTAGTTTTATAGGTTTTGAAGGGAAATAAAGATTTTGAATTTTAGAATAGATCCTGACGACGACGATGATTTAAAGGAACTCGAGGAACTTGAACGGAAAAAGAACAATCATGGAGAGTTAACGCTCATCGAAAGAGGGAAAATACTGGTGGAGGAAGTCGTTCAAAAAGTTGGATTTTTCGGCATTCTAGCTTGCGCCAGTGTAAGTGTAACTACAGTTGCGACAAACGCCAAAATCAAAGCCTTCTCTGTTTTTAGATACCAAATCCTCTCTTTGACTTGGCCGGAATTACCTGCGGACACTTCCTGGTTCCTTTTTGGACCTTTTTCGGGGCAACGCTCATAGGCAAGGCCATAATCAAGATGCACATACAGAAGCTGTTTGTTATAATAGCATTCAACGAATCTCTGATAGAAACGGCTATAGAGTGGCTAAAAGTGGTCCCGATAATAGGAGAGAGACTGCAAGTTCCGTTTAAGGCGTTCTTAGACGGGCAGAAGCTGAAGCTACACAAAAAGAGTGTTGGCAAAGTACAAGAAGCGGGGGGAAATATACTGGGTTCTATTTTCGAGAAGTTCGTTATCGGTATGATCCTGTATTTCATCATTTCCATCATAAACTCTTTTGCTCAGTCTTACCACAAACGGTTACATAAGAAACCCGCGAAAATAAATAAAGACTAGGAACCAGCACGACTAGTGATTTTGATTTTTATGAATGAATGTATTTTGTAGGTTTTTTTGTGATTATATTTGTACATATAGATTTTTGCCAACCATTCCTGTTTAGAATAAAATTTGTGTATGGAGGGATTATTTTTCTTTCTTAGTTCGTCTCTTACTATTTATTGTATTTAACTTATTTTAGAAAAATATATACTTCTTGCAGATCGGTAACAGGTTAGGATGTTGCTCAATTTTGCCATTAGGACTTAAGAATGTATGAAAAAAATTTAAAACGTGAAATTTTCTCTTATAAATTCCAGCCAACATTTGTTTTATGTTAAGGGGTGACGCCACTCTAGAGGTGGAAAAAAGGTGATTTTTGGGGATTTTCAAGGAAAAATCGATGCAAGTGCTGGGAACGAAAAGGTTTTGTACTTGTATCAGATCGTATTGCGAATTCTTTCGAAGACGGCAAGCAACGACATCTTTTTTTTCAGAGAGCTGTATGGCGAGAAGGCTATATTATGTTGTTGTGAACAAAAAAACCTTATTGACATTTTTCTGTATCGATGGTCAGTAATTTGTTTTAACAAAAAACGCGAAAACTTAAAAAATCTATATGAAAACACATTGGTTATTAGACCAGGCGGGATCTGCTTCAAAACACCCATGTATGGCTGTTTTATATAATATTGCAAATTTTTGCTTTAATGACTCCAAAATGATATAACAAAACAAATTCACCATGCGCACGCTTCAAAACGAGTGCTAAACTTATTAAACAAATAGTAAAAAAATTGGAAAAAATTCCATATTTTTTCTCTTTTTTTCAACACAGTTCAAAAACTATCCGTATTAGAGAAAAATTAAAGAGGAAAAAAGATTCGTAATTAAATTTTACACAAGATATACCTATTTTTGGATAAAAAAAATACAACATAATTATTGCAAATATAGCAAAAACAACAAAAAAAGTGAAAAAATTGGGAATATTTTTACAATTTTTTAAAAAGTACTTATAGGTAGGATCTTCATATTTGGCCAAAAAAATCTTTTTGATATAATAAAACATCACCAATTTATGTTAAAATCAGTCAGATAGTTTTCGAGTAATAATTTTGCAATCCAGATTTTTTTTTTAAAATTGAAAGCCTAAATTAAGATTTCTTGAAAATTTTATCACATAAAAAAGGGCACTCAAACATTAAAATGCGTACAGAAAAATTGAAATTCGTTAATTAGGAGAGCCGTGGTAATTGNGACGCCACTCTAGAGGTGGAAAAAAGGTGATTTTTGGGGATTTTCAAGGAAAAATCTATGCAAGTGCTGGGAACGAAAAGGTTTTGTACTTGTATCAGATCGTATTGTGAATTTTTTCGAAGACGGCAAGCAACGACATCTTTTTTTTCAGAGAGCTGTACGGCGAGAAGGCTATATTACGTTGTTGTGAACAAAAAACCTTATTGACATTTTTCTGTATCGATGGTCAGTAATTTGTTTTAACAAAAAACTTGCAAAATTGCGAAAACTTAAAAAATCGATATGAAAACACATTGGTTGTTAGACCAAGTGGGATCTGTTTCAAAACACCCATGTATGGATGTTTTATATAGTATCGCTAATTTTTGCTTTAATGACTCCAAAATGATATAACAAAACATAATTTCACTATGCGCGCGCTTCAAAACAAGTGCTAAACTTATTAAATAAATAGTGAAAAAATTGGAAAAAATTCCATTTTTTTTCTCTTTTTTTCAACACAGTTCAAAAACTATTCATAGTAGAGAAAAATTAAAGAGGAAAAAAGATTCTTAATTAAAGGACCCCTCACAAATCAAACGGGAATTGGCTTTCGGTGAAATCGGCCAAATTTTGGATATGTTGTTCCTTTCGGTGTCCAGATCAAGTCTCTATGGACACGAAGCTCGAAAATCTTCCCTGCGAGCAGTTCTCAGCTTGGAAGGTTAGAGACCGGTAATCTCTGATTTTTGCTGATTCTACCTCTATCCTTACATTTTCGGGATATATATTCCGGGAGAGGTCTTTTTACACGATATATCTATTTTCAGATAAAAAAAATACAACATAATTATTGCAAATATAGCAAAAACAACAAAAAAAGTGAAAAAATTACAATATTTTTGCAATTTTTTAAAAAGTACTTATAGGTAGGATCTTCATACTTGGCCAAAAAAATCTTTTTGATATAATAAAACCACACCAATTTTCGTTAAAGTCGGTCCGATAGTTTTCGAGTAATAATCTTGCAATCCAGATTTTTTTAAAAAAATTGAAAGCCTAAATTAAGACTTCTTGAAAATTTTATCACATAAAAAAGGGCACTCAAACATTAAAATGCGTACAGAAAAATTGAAATTCGTTAATTAGGAGAGCCGTGGTAATTGTTTAAATATATTCATAATTTTTGAGCTTATAAACAAATAGAATAATAATTTTTTTTAATTATGCTTTAAAGTTCTCGGAAAGACGTCTTCTTTAAAAAAAAAAAACATGGTGATTCCTTAATTGGTACCAGAGTTATAGTCGATCAAAGTTGACCGGCATTTGTGGCGTAACTACAAGGTCTGGAGGGCTGTTTTTTAAACAAATACCTTTGTTATTCCGAGTACTTTCCGGGAGTGAATTTGCAAAACTTGCGCCCTTGCGCAACCCGTATAATATGTCGATTAAAACTATTGGAACGAGCATGAAATTCACAAAAAATATATGGGAGGTAGTGGTGGGGGGGGGGTCGAGAGCTCAGCTAATCCGAGGGGGTCGAGGGCTTAGCTAGTCCGGCCGACTCGAAATTGAAATCGCGCGTTCAAAATTGTGGCGCGCTTAAAAATGTTGATTATCTTGGCTTCTAGTGGTCTGATTTTGATGTTTTTTTTTAAATCGATGTCTCGTGAGCTGAAAAGTCCAAATATCGCATTTTTAAATGTGAATTATTGTTAATTATCGACCTATTAACGTATTGATAATTACTACTTTTTAATTTGCTGTACTTTTCTCATATTTTTCTTTAAACAATTACTACGGCTCTCCTAATTAACGGATTTCAATTTTTCAGGACGCACATTAAAGTTTGAGTATCCTTTTTTATGTGATAAAATTTTCAAGTATCTAGAACAGGAGTCGGCAAGTAATTTTAGGTGGGATCCGGATACTTTTGAAAATTTTTAACAAGATCCAAAAAAAAATTCATATTTTTTTTTAATTTGGACTCAAATTTAATCTGCTTACTAACCATTAAGAATTCACACACTCACACAATTGTAAAATACTAGAAAAAATGATAAGATTACTTAAGATGACTTAAACGTAAAAAACATTTTTTAAATAATTTATTTGAGTAATTTATACTTTCAAAAAATTTTTGGCGTTCCAGTATTTTACCTTCCGCGGTCCGCCAGTTGCCGACCCTTGATCTAGAAGTCTTATTTTAAGCTCAGTTAAATTTGCAAAAATTTCAATTTTTTTTTAAACTGGATTGTAAAATTATTACTCGAAAACTATGGGANTCGTTAATTGGTTCCAGAGTTATAGTCGATCAAAGTTGACCGGCATTTGTGGCGTAACTACGAGGTCTGGAGGGCTGTTTTTTAAACAAATACCCTTGTTATTCCGAGTACTTTCCGGGAGTGAATTTGCAAAACTTGCGCCCTTGCGCAACTCGTATAAAATGTCGATTAAATCTATTGGAACAAGCATGAAATTCACAAAAAATATATGGGAGGTAGTGGTGGGGGGTCGAGAGCTTAGCTAGTCCGAGGGGGTCGAGGGCTCAGCTAGTCCGGCCGACTTGAAATTGAAATCGCGCGTTCAAAATTGTGGCGCGCTTAAAAATTTTGATTATCTTGGCTTCTAGTGGTCTGATTTTGATGTTTTTTTTTTAAATTGATGTCTCGCGAGCTGAAAAGTCCAAATATCGCATTTTTAAATGTGTGAATTATTGTTAATTATCGACCTATTAACGTAATGATAATTACTACTTTTTAATTTGCTGTACTTTTCTCGTATTTTTCTTTAAACAATTACCACGGCTCTCCTAATTAACGGATTTCAATTTTTCTGGACGCACATTAAAGTTTGAGTATCCTTTTTTATGTGATAAAATTTTCAATTATCTAGAACAGGGGTTGGCAAGTAATTTTAGGTGGGATCCGGATACTTTTGAAAATTTTTAACAAGATCCAAAAAAAAAATCATATTTTTTTATTTTAATTTGGACTCAAATTTAATCTGCTTACTAACCATTAAGAATTCACACACTCACACAATTGTAAAATACTAGAAAAAATGATAAGATTACTTAAGATGACTTAAACGTAAAAAACATTTTTTAAATAATTTATTTGAGTAATTTATACTTTCAAAAAATTTTTGGCGTTCCAGTATTTTACCTTCCGCGGTCCGCCAGTTGCCGACCCTTGATCTAGAAGTCTTATTTTAGGCTCAGTTAAACTTGCAAAAATTTCAATTTTTTTTTAAACTGGATTGTAAAATTATTACTCGAAAACTATGGGACCGATTTTAACGAAAATTGGTGTGATCTATTATATCAAACAGATTTTTTTGGCCAAGTATGAAGATCCTACCTATTATATAAGTACTTTTAAAAAAATCGCAAAAATATTGTAATTTTTCTCACTTTTTTTTATTGTTTTTGCTATATTTGCAATAATTATGTTATATTTTTTATATGAAAATAGGTATATCATGTGTAAAATTCAATTACGAGTCTTTTTTTCCTCTCCAATTTTTCTCTAAAATGAATAGTGTTTGAACTGTGTTGAAAAAAAGAGAAAAAAATATGGAATTTTTTTCAATTTGTTTAATAATAACTTTACCACACATTTTGAAGCGCGCGCATAGTGAATATATGTTTTGTTATATCATTTTGGAGCCATTAAAGCAAAAATTAACGTTATTATATAAAACATTTACACCAAAACAGATCCCGCCTGGTCTATATGTATTTTGGGTAAAAATAAGCACTTTTTAACTCTTGTGACTTTTTAGAAAAAAGCTTTGTTTTTGAGCTAAGAGTCATTTAAGGTCGAAAAATAACCATTTTCAATTTATGTTTTCTCGGATTGTACTGGAGCTTTTTTTTAATTTTTCTTGTTCGAGGTTACTCACCAAAAGTTATATTTTCATGTTATATATATTTTTCATCCCGGCGACTTTTTTTCCCCCCATAAGATACACGACCGAAAACTTGTGAAATTCACCGTTTCACCACGTGCTGAGCCATGAGCGAGCGAGCCTGCAAGCAGCCGGCAATATCGATTTTTTAAGTTTTCACAATTTTGCAAGTCTTTTGTTTATAATAAATTACTGACCATCGATACAGAAAAATGTCATTAAGGTTTTTTTGTTCGCAACAACTCAATATAGCGATTAGAAAAGGTTTCATCTTGGCCCCCCTCCATGGTCGGTCCACTCGTTTTTTGTGCGTCTTTTTAGGGGTGCACCGCTCGCCTATTAAAGAAAAAAACTAAAATTTTCCAATGTACTGGGTGTTTCAGAGTTGAATTGACAAAAGTCTAGGGGAGATTTTGCTCAGCAAAATATGTAAAAAAGTTCATACGAACATGCGTCCTCAACAGCTACGTTTCCGAGATACAGGGTATAAATTTTTTTTTAAATTGAGTTTTTTAAAAAAACAGTGGCTGACTTGAATGAAATTTTTATGGCTTATTAAAACATTATCATACATCAACTGGACCAATAAGGTTTGATCCAGAATTTTCAGGGGCGTACTCAGTGAGCAAGTCGTTTTTTTTGTAGTTTCTTAAAAACAAAGCGAGACACTAAAAAGAATCAAGAGAAGCAAATGTAATATTTTTGAATGAATATTACATAAAAGCCGCAAAGAAATTACAGGGTAATATTATCTTCTACAAAAAGAAAAAGGACTTGCGCGCTGGGTATGCCCCTGAAAATTCCGGATCAAACCTAATTGGTCCAGTTGATGTATGATAATTGTTCTAATAAACCATAAAAATTTCATTAATCATTTCATTGTACATATTTTGCTGTGCGGAATCTCCCCTAGTCTTTTGTCACTTCAATTCTGAAACACTCGGTATACTAAAAGTTAGAAAACATTGTAAGGAAATTAAGCAATATTAATAATAATTGATTTAATGAACATTGAAAAAAAAATAGTATTGAAAAGACAAACAATTTTGCATTTAATTATTAATAACAACGAAAATTGATAATCAAACGAAAAAGCCTTAGGATGATCCCTGTTATTGTGAGGCTCTATACAAATAGTTTATCGTTGAAAACTTTTTGAGTTATATTTGTGGCTAGTTAAAAAAAAATGATTTCTTGAAAAACAGCATAACAAATTCGTTATATGTGTACCATCAATCAGTAATACCTGCACCATATAATTGGCCTTCTATGTTGATATTTTCTTCATCCTCTTCTTTTCGAATTGATCTGGAACTCGTGCATACTGCCAGTGGTTGCCCACCACCTCGAAAAAATTTCCTGATTTTTTCCCCCCACCCAAACCTTTTTTCCTATATTCACATAAAACATTGTTTAAACCATTTACTCAACAATTGATTTTTACAAATTTCTAAAGTGGTTTTACCCCTTACCTAATGTTTCACAAGTCACTATTATTCCCGCAACTAATTTTAAATGTCCTGGACCAAAGTTTATTCTAAAAAAACTTAGTTTAATTGAGTGAGGCATGTGTTTTCCATTTTTATTTTGTTTTGAAATCTATTATTTATTTTTATTAGAGTGAAGTAGAAAATGTTCAGAAAAATGTTTGTTTTTCGATTCTCAAAATGTATTCTTTTTTTGTTTATAAATTGAATCAAATAAATGATATTTTTTTTTTATTTCCTGGCCCATTTCATTTTCAAGTTAATTAGAATTCGAATAATTCATCTAACTTTGCATATTAAACAAACAGGCTGTAACTTTAAGTGGGGGTAGTTTTTTTAGGGGTAATAGCACATGTTCCCTTGAACACAAATCTGAAATTCTTTTTTTTTTAATCAAATAAATAGTCGAGTTATAATCAGTTTTTTAAAATGCACTTTATTACTTGTATACGCCGCCACTAATATATGCATGTATTACAAATAACATGAATTGTAGGCAATCTACAGTGCATGTGAAGGGAGATACTGCGGGTCAACGGTGATGAAGCGAAGGGCGTCAGTTGTTCCGCATTTAGAGATAGTATATCTAACTGAATTTTAATGTTTTTTATCATTGGAGGCCATCAACATACTATTTATTTTTGTGTATTTCATGTATCATTTATTGATTATTGCTTGAGTTTTTTGCTAGAAGTACTGTTTGTGTGGCGAACACTCACTCAACGAAAGTAACTCACGGCGAATGATGTGAAATTGTGCATGCGCTGCGACTAAAGCGCGCCGTTATTTGAAGTACTAGCTTCTCCAGTGGTGGGGTACGAAAATTACTGAAAATAGGTTTTAAAAAAATTAAGTTTTTACAATGGAATTTGAAGAAATTAACCCCATAAGAACCCCACTCAAAGTTATACCCTGTATAAAAATATTAAAAACAGGTAAAGTACATATTTATAATTTTTAACACCTTTTTTTACATTCAGCATTAGTTAAATGTCAAGATTTGTTTATGGAAATTACATGATTCATTAGTGTGTTAATTACAACTTCCATTCTAATTATCGTAATACCAGACCCGAGAGAATTTTGAAAATTCACCTGTCTCGTACAAATTGGGATCGAGAAGCAAGTCGCTTCACATAAATTCCATCATAGCTAGAGCCAAGGACAATGTCCCCAAGAATAACAATAACAGCTGGGCAATGCAGAGAGCGTGGCGGTGAATGGAAATTATTTTCACCTCACTTTCCAAAATCACGCCGTCGCGCTCAAATCGCTCCAAGCAACACCAAACTCTTCAGGCACAGCAGTCGATGCAGTACACAAACATTCCAGATGACGAAGCGCGGGAAATGAAGATTTTCACCTTACTTTCCAAAATCCCATTGTCGCAACCAAAAACATTCCGTCAAAGTAGCCCAACGACGCGAAATAAGGGCGACGAATCCGTTACAGGTTCGAATTTCGGAGGTCAAAAATTCTCCGAATTCAAAGGAATTCGAGCCTTACGGAAACACAACACCTACTACAAACATATAGAGGCGAATCTGGAAGGATGTTATGTTCCACAGATTCAGAAATGGTCGAGCGGTGACAATATGGTGCTGCACTAAACCAGACTTCGCAAAAAAGCCACCAGCGGGAATGCCCTTGTTTGTGACTGAACGTCAACCCGGTCCATCGACAGATTTATAACTAGTGTTCGGAACCTGATCAGAGTTTGTACTCACTCCAAATGTATTGTTGCCTAATATTTATTGTATTATTAGCAAAACCAATATTTCTTAAAATATTATCTGAGTTATACACAAGGTCAAAGCTCACATAGCTCCTCAACTTACTCGCCTAGTCGTCCTACTTACGGCGAAGACCCTCCAAACATAAACTTCAGTGAAAAAGATAGTGAAACTGACACCAGAGCCGCAGACTCGTGGTGCTAATAATAAACATAGTAAAAAAAACAATCAAAATGGTCAGTTGAAGCACTAAAACTTTGAAAACTAATAACGCAAGTGCAGTGCATCAGTTTGTCTCCGGATGCAAAGAGGAGATACACGAACCTACTGGAAATCCCCTTATCGACAAGAGGGTGACTAACATCCCAGCGCGGCAGGTAAAAATGAAGCCAGACCAAGTCGTCTCAATTGAGCCGAATATTGTTAGTACCATAAGACCCTGCCCGCTAACCTTTTCTGTTTCAGAGACAGCCAGGATCAAGAAACGAAGACAACGACACACACACACACACATACACACCCCCCATACCCTCCTTACTCCTCCCCTCCCGCGCTAGCCTAAGGGCCACCTTAGCAAAGCGCATCCCAGGCTGCATAGCCGCACTGCCCTACCCAACCATACCACACATAAATATGACACAACCCCCGGGGTTTACACAGACGAGCCGGCGAAGCAAGAAGAGCGCCAGAAGAAAGGGCCCTAGCCGGCGGGGCCCAGCCAGGACAAAAGGAGGTCCCACAAAGCGCCTACACCGGCCACATTTGCGGTCGGGGTAGACGACGGATGGGGCCCACCTACGAAGGCTGTCCAGGCCTACACGACATGAGGCAGGATAAAGAGGGATAATCCCCCTCGATTCCAAATCATTGACGCCAATTTCTAGCCATGGAATAATGACGGAGTACCATAAGAGTAACTTACTCTTATGGTTAGTACACTGCGACCGGTGCACCAGCCGGGTGAACATACTAAATAGATCACTTAATAATATTTATTTAGCAGGTACATGAAATAAATCGTTTAATAAAATTATATTTTATTTTTATACAGTTATGGAATCAATAATATATGTATATTAATGATTTAGAAAGAATATAAGGAGATAGAAATACACCCGCGTAAGTGCGGGTGCAGTGGTGCACTAACTGCACTGTTCCTGACATCGATTCACGACATCGGACATACATCGGCACAGTGCAATGTAAAGAGCCGAGATCCGGAACGGATCTTTGAAAACGAACCGGTTCACTCGGATCAGTACGAACGAAGAGCCGGCTCAGTGAATCGGATCAGTCATGTTCCGCACATCTCTACCTACCACAATTGTTTTATTTGCTGTGCTTTAACTTTACTACTCTGTGCTCTGTGGTCCGTGGTGCGATGCAAATGTTGCAATTGCAATGGAGGAAAAAATATTTCAAACTTTAGAGGCTAGAAATGAATTTATCGAGCATTTAGAAGAAGATATTAGAAAAAATAATCAAGTTTTAGAAGACACTAAAAAGGAACATCGTGAATTGCAAGAAACGGTTACAAATTTAGAATGTCTGGGAAAATATCCTGAACAAACGTCTTTTATACCTCTAGGAAAAAATATTTATATGAAAGGGAAAATTGTTCATACAGGTGAGTGCTACGTAAAAAAGACTGCTTCTCCAGAATCTTACATTGTATTAAAATCCCTGGAACAAACATTGAATTCGCTGCAAGATGAACTGAAATTGAAATATAGGGATATTGAGAAAATAGAGTACTCTAATTACCAGCTGAAAGAAAGAATGAAATTACTTAAAGGAAATGAAGATGAAGAAATTTCAGAGGTTGAACAATTACCAAAGGAAATTAAGTCTGACAAGGGAGTAGCTGTAAAAGTTGGTGAATTTTACGAAATTCTGGAATTTGAGGAGGAATAGAAGGTGAACATACATTGCAGGAGTAATCTTAAAGATGAAAATAATGGCTTTAAGTTACTAGTGTGTGATAAATAAATCATGCGATTGTTGAAACGGTACGAAAATGTTCTAATAAGGAAATGAGAAACAAAGCGAGTGAAAATATTAAAAACTAATACACTGGGAAATAAAAAGCTTAGACTTTCTTATGTAATTGTGACATAATTTTATTTACATTTTGTATATTCAAGAATTCAATTCCTTGTATGTAAATAAGACATTAATAAAGATAACTTTGTACACAAAATTTTTGATTTTTTTTATATTTAAATCCAATACATTATTAAGGTAAAAGCTGTAATGGGAAAAAATAAATTAAAATAATTGTATATAAAATTTATTTCATAAAATGAATACAAAAACAACATACTAAATGGACGGCTTGCAGTATGCTTAAATCTAGAAATACTAAGCTAAAAATTAAACGTTATAAGTGGTATTCATCATGTACAAATATATTAAAAAAGATTATAAAATATAGTTTTATAAAAAAAATATGTCATGTCACTATTGTATCTTTGGACAAAAACTTGCAATATATATTTCACATTTTTAGCAGCAATTGTGAAAAAATATAGTGATTTAATAATTTTTATTATAAATCACATCTAAAGCAGGCGATGCATAGAAAAAAATTCTGATCTGCACTTTCATTTGGAAAATACTGATTTGTAAAAAATACTACTATGAAAATAAATAATGGAATCATTTCAATATAGATAAGGGTTATCTAAACAGTATCTAGTTTTTTTGATTTCGAATTTCTTTTGAAAGAAATAGAAATACCAAAAACCATCTAAATCATTGTCAAAATTTAATATATCTTGTTTTACGGGTACACCAAATATCTTCAAAATATTAGAGAAATGAGATTCATCGTTGAAAACTATTGTCAAAGAACTTGGCTAAAAATTTAAATTAGTATTTTCACTAATAAAATTTAAGAAATTCAAACATAAACGAATCAATTGTGAATTGTGCAATGTTTTTTGGAACATTTAAATCTTACACAATCTTAGAATATACGACAAATTATTTACTCTAGAAATTATTTCAATGTGAGTTTAGTATATTGTAGAAATAATTGGTGCTTTTAATGGCCGAGGCCTGGAATAAGTAGGCGTCGGATCGAGAGGGATTTCGACTAAGCTGGCATCGTCGAAACTGTGCTGTGTGGGGTTGTGGGACGAGATCCCGCTAGAGACGGTACTGTCGACGCGTTTAAGGACTGCATGGTGCCCATCTAAAATGCGAAAGATTGCACATACAACGTAATTACTCAGTCATAACTATTTGGATGTTCAAACGACAGTAATTTGTAATGACAGCTCACTGGGCATATCGTAATCATTATTTATGATGAAGTTTTAGACGTATGTAAGGGCACACCCATTTATAAATAATCGGTAGTAGAAAATAATTATTATCGAACAATAGAATTCGCTTCCAGTACCTCAAAATTATTTAAAACTATGGTCTATGTGAAATTATATTTTTAATGTTTCTAATACTAATTATTTTCAAAATACAGAAATATGTTGTACATTATTTCACAAGCCTGGCTTTTAATAGATTTGAATAACTCACTTTGAGATACCAAACAGAACTGAAATAACTAAACTGATGCTACATCACAGATTATTTTGTAAATAATTGTGTATATTATTATTATAGTACATTGAAAATAACAATTTTATGGGTATATTTGGTATAATTCGTCTTAGGAATAGCTTCATCGTAAATAATACTCGATATATTATCAAGCTTAATAAAAAAGCAAATTCTGAATAAACCTTTTACCTTACCTAAATTGTAAGACTACGGAAGCATGAAAAAGAAAACTATGTATACACAGAGAGTAGCAGAATTAATGGGACATAAAAATATTAGGATTTATCAAACTTTGCTCAAAAGTTGTTAAACCCATACTTTTTATTTAGATTTTTTGCCACAACCATAGTGGTTTTTAAATTAATGATCTTTTTTGATAGATAAACAATAATATGGCCACTACTTCAATATTATTCAGTATTTGACAATTTCAAGTAAAAATTTTTATGCCGTCTCAAACTAAAAGAAATATGAATTTTTGGTTGAAACTACCAAATATTTAAGGGTAATAAAAGTTTATTAACATTAAGATATTTAAATGTAGTATATATGGAGTTACCTAGATGTTACCTTAATGAATACTGGTCACATTATTATTCTTCGAAAAAAAAAACTGTCAATTCTCAGATCGATATTTTAAAAATTAAACATATTTCTCACAATTCAAAGTAACAATTATAACTTTAACACCTGGTGTTTTTCTTAATATCAGCTTTTGCTTTTGAATGAGATAAATTTAGTTAAAGTGTAATATTTTGGTGTCCTCAATCCACAGTTGTTCTGTATCCGATCAAATCTAGAAGATCTTTTACAATTAATGTTTATTAAACATTAAAATTAAAAAAAAATCCAAATAGTACAATCTTAAAAGTATAACTTTTAAGTTAATTGTTAAACGTTAATGAAACCAGTATTTTAGTAACAATTGTTATGAATTATACAAAGAAAAATGTAATAAATTTTACCGTCTGTTGTGGCACAATAAAATAGGAGAAAAAGCATTTTTCTACTTACCCTCAAATGAGCCAGATCTTCCAATTTCGTCAGATCCGACAATTCAATATAAAGCGAGTATACTAACACCCAACCGTATATGCTGGCAACCATAAAAATCGTCCAAAGCAGGCACATTAAAATATTATAAGCAAATATCAAATCGTTTACTATGGAGAAGAACAAATATGCAAGGAGTCTAAAAATGGTGAACACAGCAAAGGTATATATCCACGGTAACATTCTCTTTTCATGCTCCTACGAAGAAAGTGTTTATTATATGCATTAAGAAATGTATTTTAATATTTACCTTTCTTAAAGCATTAATCAGCATAATACTTGTCACAAATATTACCATAGCCAATATTATTGAAAACCCTGCGAACATTACCAAGGTGTTTCTCACTGAAAATGGAAAAGCATTAAAAATTGAAGAAACTAATGACATTTTAGGTACCATGTCGTGATCCTACGTAGACAAACTGGTACGAAAGAACGTAATAACCATAATGAGTAGAACCTGGAGCTGCCATCGCATAACAATACAGATCAAAGAAACCAGTTATAATTGTGAAAATTGACAAAAGCTATAAACAAAAAAGAAAGTCTGAATTGAGCAACATATAAATATTAACTATGTAAAACTTTACCAATGAAAATATTCCAGTAATTAAAGAGGCTCGTTGAACATCAAGAAAAATAGCATCCTGGACCAAAGGTTTTTGATACCAGGGCACCTGAAGGGATTTGAGACTTCGAGAACCTCTAAGATTTGCGTTGCTCCTAGTCGTTACATGGGAATACACCGATGGTGTTCCCGTTGTCGGAGACTTCTTACCGTAGTTCATTATTAAAAAGCAATTAGAAATTTGTGTCTTTACCCTTCTGTACGCGAAATAATTATTGTATGACACATTTATCACATAAACAAAGAGGCGTGGTCAAATATTTGATTATTTGTCAAACGTTATTCATTCCTCTTCTGCTTCTTCGGAAATTCTATAAGGCCAATTCTTTCGTCCGGGAATATCAGTTCAGTTTATAATTTAAACCAGAGCAACTGATTGGTTGAACTTACAAAATTATGGTGGATTTTTACATTCAGCCAATCAGTTGCTCTCATTTCATATTAGGTCTGTTTCAACAAGAGTCAGGGATTGGTTCTGAACCGTTTGAAATGTTTGGCCAGCTAATAAGTTCTAAATGTGTCTTCAGTGAATATATCGCAAGAATTCGTTGGATGCACATTTCGAACAGTTCGGAACCAATTCCTGACTTGTTGGAACAGACCTATTATAACTCAAGATCTTGGATGAAAGATTTCAGCTACAGACCACAGCTCAGCTATCATCGAGCAAAGTCGCTAAAGGGAGTAGGTTGCCTACAAACAAACTACTATCCTCTTCGGACCACTTCCACCAATGAACTGATGAGTGACGTCATTGGTATTATAAATCGAATAACGTCAGCGTCAGGCATTATTATGTTTGCTAATAAATTTACCAAAGATAAATGCTGGTATGTGAACTTTATTACTCGAAAGCCTCCATAGACAGTTATATACAAATGAAAATTTTGAATTATATCAAAATGAAAAACAGTAATTTGATTCACTATTTTACAAATTATTATTTATGCTAATTACTGTATCTGTATTTACATATCATGGAATATTGCTAAAGTAAAGTAATATTTACAGTTACTAGAAAAATACTATTTTTTTCGTTTTAATTTGGTATACATTTTTCTTTCCGAATAAACATGAATGTGTCTAGATATGTGGTACCCGAGAGTTGAAATAAAAATTTCTACAATGCTTACATTTAAGGCTTTCCAAAAATTTTAATATCTGTTTCAAAACCAAGCATGATGTAATCGAATATATTTAGTTTATATAACTAGTGTAGCTTATATAACCAACGATGCATAAGTTTTTTAGATATTTTTTCTTATTTATTTACTCTGTTTTAATATGGTTGACTTGTTCAAGATTACAATTCTTTATCTACTGAAAGTGAATGAAGTGAAATAGAAAAGTGTTATATGCCCTTATCGATTTGTATTATACCATTGAGTGAGAAATATTTCTTGCTCAACGAATATACTGTGGAAAATAATACTATGACTGACGTCGCAATAAACAAAATTAAAACTTTTTAGCTGATAACCCACTAAACATTTTTCAGTTTCTGACATGTTCTAGAAACGTTTCCATTTTTCTTGAAACGTTTCATAAAAAATCCATGCAACGTTCTGGTAACGTTCTAGCCCACACAGCACATGACGTCCCTGGGATATCCTCATTTAGTCCTATATATCCTAATCGGGGATCTCACTCCTCAGGATATCCTGATGATATTTAAATAAGACAAGTAGATCCTATCAATATCCTAATTGGGGATATCCCAGGTAAATCCAAACAGGATGTCCTGGAAATATCCTATGAAGATATTAAAAGCCGAATAATCTCCAATTTTGGGATATCCTAGGCAAATTCTAGAGTGATCCCATCCTGGGATGGTTCTTGGCTTTGCACAGTGCATGGTGCATGCGCAGTATGACATATTGACGACATGACCCGTATCTCGCCATTTTCTGTGTTTCTTTGTTTTATAAGTGCGTGACTCAATGACGTTTTTATTAATTTGAAAAGTGGAAAATGAAATTTAAAGCTTGTTAAAATAGTTAAGTGACGTGCATCAACCACCTGCTGGCAGAAGTAAGTATTTAAATTACCTTTGGTATTAAGGTATTAATATCATAGAATAAACATATAGGTTAGAATCGTATATAGTATTAACTAATTTTGTTCTTACTGTTTGTATCATGCAATAATTATATAATGCCTAAAGAACGCATTAAAAAAACATGTTTTCAAATATTTTTTATATAGAGCCTAATACCATTCAAAAATTAGAATAGTTTTTATCACTATTTGTAATAGATGTGTATAAGTGGTATCACCAAATCTACATAATATGTTCAAATCTATAATTTTTAGTTTTGAATGTGTTGTATATAGGTGTTCTGACAAAGGATTGTATCCCATAAATTTAATTAATTTATTATAGTTCTCTGTCTGTAATATTTGTACCAACATTGTGAGTTATAAGGATTACATTATAAATCGTAGGCAGAATTACGTATTATCTATTAGAATATTAGAATTAAATTTAATATCAACAGATTATAATCCATAGTTCATGAAATTAGAATAGTCTCGTTAAATGTATTTAATGAAAATTTTTGTTTTGTCACTCGTCTACAATGTAAATGTATTATTAACATACTTTTTCTACAAATTTACAGCTGGAATTTCACAAGCACATTGCACAAAAAATTGCCCAGAAAAAGATAATGGGGAGGGCATTAAAACATGTCGCGGCATGCAAATGAGAGACTATAAA